GCCCTAAGACCAAATCCAGATCCACCTCCCAATTCTCATCATCCTTCCATAATTTACGGTTTACACCATGAAGTCAACTAAATCATTAATCAAATATCTTTGTGTAAATAGAGCAACTAGGATTTATACCTTAAGTCAACTTACAATATGCAAGGTCCAATTAGGAATGACGACGGGCCCGTCCGGGTTCGGGTTTTGTCTGCCTCATCCCCGACCCGAAACTCAAATGTCCTGTTCTGCTCATGTTCCAATCTTAACTTTGTTCCTGTATAGGATCCCCAAATTTGTTTAAAATTTTAATTTTTTTAATATTTTTAAGTTTACCTAAAATTATATTATATTATATAATAGAATAATATAAAATAACATATATTTGTGGTTACTTGACTCGGAGAGGGATGGATGGAATATGAAGTTGGAGTCGTCACTTAAATTTTTTAAAAATCGGGAATTTAGGAAAACTCAGAAATTTAAAAAAATATATATTTTTTGGTGACTCGTCTCCCACTGGGATTGAAATTCTTAAGGTCCATGGACCAAGGAGGTATGGTGTGAGGAGGTGTTAGGCATCCCACACGTGCTCGGTTAAACTAGTCTTTACTTCACCAATGTTTTAAAGATTGTTTAACAATTTTTTGACTTTGAATTTGTTGGAATTGCACAAATCTTACAAGATAAAATAAAGAAAAAGCTAAAGTAAACTAATAGTTAAATAGTCAAGCTAAGATAGACAAATAAGCAAATGAATGGGTTAAATTAAAATAGATCTAGAGAAACCGTTGAGCTAGAATCAAGAAATGCTGTAACATGCCAAAAGAAAAAACCAATTAAGAAAATGAATGAGAGATAAAAGAAAGACTATATTAATAAACGAATTAAAGAAATGATAGATCACAAACAATAAAGAAACAAATGAATAAAAAAATTGAGTTGAATAGCTAATACAAATTAAGATGACCAGCAAGGAATGGTACGAAAACATGTGAAATGGCTAAATGTGCAACTAGTAACATGGTCATATCGTGGAGATCAGAAAATCCATACTAAGGAGCACATGAACAAGGATATTCATGAACTGGGAGCGGGGAATAAGTGATTGACCTGATTAGCGTATGGAAATGTGATTTAATAAAAATGAATTAGAGAAGAGAACAAAACAAGTTAGGGTGAACCAATGGGTAGATGAGAGAATTGTCCAAATTAAAGGAAGTATTTTGAAAGGGGGAAGGTTGGTCAATTGGATTTTGGTTTCTATTGATCAAGAGTTTCATGTTCTTTTTTCATACTTATGTGGGGATGAGGGAAAGTTAATTTTCTTGGGTATCACTTACCCGAGCAAGTGATTCCCATCTCTAAGGTGGGTAAATAACTTTCCCACCTAAGGGGGAAGTTACCAACACTTGAATGAGGCAAAAATGTCATTTTTAATAATGGATTTTTGTGACTAAAATGGTCATTGCCTTATTTACATGAGAAATAAAAGAACATGGGTAAATGCATTTACCCGGGTAAGTGTTTCCTAGGAAAAACATACCCAAGTAACAACATTTATCCAAGTAACTTGCCAAAAAGTGAACGGGGCCTAAAAGTAAAAGGTGGAGAGGGAGAGCAATATAACTACAATACGTTTAAGGGTTTTTATAGTTCAGTCCACACCTAGGGTGGAGCTAAGATTTCTAGAGGTAGACTGAATCCTACCCGTGGATTGATGCCAAATTCACGGGTAGGATGCGGTTTATAGGGGGGCTACTAAGCATGATGCATGCTAATGATCTAGATAAGGTGTCATATTAACAAAATGAATCTAATGCATGAAATATGAATGAGATAGGGAACAACTTGATAATTCTATCAATGCAGTCAATAAAAAAAAACATATCATCTATGATGCAAGCGGAAATAAGCTTAGGATGGTCTTAATTGAGAAAACCATGCTAATTAGGCCAAAAATTGTCCGTGCAGTGATGCGTAAAATAAACATGAAAATAAGAAAGCGGCACATGAGTTTAAGCTAGAAATATCGAGACATGTGAGCAAGGATTTATTATCAACATTGCTCGAAATGTAGTCCATGGTATGAAAAGAATTGCTGAATGTCTAAAACTTCTATTGCACAGTTCACGGCTTCAAGAGTGTTTCAAAGTTTTCTTCTTCAATTTAGTTCGACTTAGGGGCATTTTTGGACTTCAAACACATATGGGGGACTCTAAGGATGTGGGAGAGTGAGTGGGCAAGGTCTTGGGACGTGAAAGGGGTATTCTCTAGGCTAATGGTGGTAAAGTTATTATCTCCCTATGCTAGATTGTGTTTAGAATGTGAGAAATGGGGTATTTATAGATTTTTTGAGAAGAGAATAGAGGGTTGAGATAAGAGACAAGGGAAGATCAATGGATGAAGTTTAAAGGGTTTTTGGAGGGATATTGATTGAAAGAATGGATTGTCAATACAGCTTTTGAAGAAATCCCCTCAATTAATCAAGACTTTACCAATTTATCTAAATTGGACATTCCAAGTTTAGGTGATTGGCTTGATTAATTGGAGGTTCCTATCTGGTCAAATCTTGGATTTTAAGATGATTCTAGAGGTTGGGTCGTTGGGAGAAAGGTTTGGTAGTATGATGCCATAGATTTGTAGTTGTAGTGAAGAGGATTCCAAATGGAAGGCTCGGATCGAGTTTAGATTTGGGTCTCAAGATGGAGGGGTTAACGATGTCGAAACTAGACAATCTTAGTACCATTGAACTCAGAATTTTGATTTCTATCCATTTACAAGGTTAGATTTTAGATTTCATATGGTATATGGTTTAGGAATAAAAGTGAACCTGATTAGACAATTATAATCGATTCTACCTTCAAGTCTTAGATGAAGGCGAAGGCATAAATGGTGTCGGATTCGGATTTTTGGGATGTATATATCTATGGTTTTGGATTTTCTGATTTTATATGAAATGAGGTTCAGGATCAAAATGGCCCTGATCGAACGATCGAAATCAATTCCGGCTTCGGGTGTTAAGATGAAGGGGAAAATGGTATCAGATTTGGGTGATATTGGTGTTGTTGGGTTTGGTTTTTTGGGCTCTACGTACCTATGGTCTCAGATTTTTATTTGATGTAGAATGAGGTTCAAGATCAAAATGACTCCAATCAGACGATTGAAATCGGTTTCGGCTTCGAGTCTTAGGATGTAGGGATAAACGGTGTCAGAGTTGGATTTGAATTTTTGGGCTCTACGTGCCTATAGTCTTGGATTCTTAAGACCTCAAATTTTATAAAATTCTAAAAATACCCTCGAATTGATTGAAAGATTAGCTGAAATATGCTTGAAGCTTGAAGTGTTGCAGAAAGATTGAATGACAGTCTACACATATATTACAAAATTATATATATAATCAAAATGGGTTCGAGGCCAGAGTGGACAAATACCACCCTGCCCCATTCCGTAATCCCCCAAAGTTTTAGGTTTACCCCAACATGCCCCGAACCTTGATAAGGGTCAAAAACCTGCCCAGATAGAGGCGGGTGGGTGGGGGCTACGGGGATGGGTCAAATTGCCATTTATAGGTTAAGTAAAAAGAGGTTTTAATTCTTCAGTCCACCCCATAAATTTTAGTACACTTGTATAGTTGGAACTCTAAATTTAGCATTATGCACATTGGTACAATTTGGAACTGTAATAGAAGTCCATGAGATGGACTGAATTCTATAAATTTACCTTAAAAAATTAGGGTTATACACATTAGATTGTTAGTTAAGGGAAGTAAAGAGGATGTTTCCACACACTCTACCTTCACCAAATAAATATATAAAAAAAAACCTTCTTTATTTATCTTTTCCTTTTTAATAATCTAATCCTTGATCATAGGACTTAGAGAATGATGCAAAGGGACAAAAAGCAATATGAAAATAAATAAGAGGATAAAATATTAAAATAAAGCAAAATCTTGAGTGTAAGTATCTATCTTTTACAATCTAATGGAAGAAAAGTATCTACTTCGGGGCCTCATGCAAGAGGATATTTTTAAGAAAAGTCTCTTCTATAGAATTTTTTCTAGGCCAAAATCCGCCTAAAAATTCAAAAGAAATTTATTATTCAACTACCCAAATTCTAGCATGGGTCAATTTATTTTCTAATAATGGGTCCATTTACATCAAGTAGCTACGGTCATCCAATTACATTGAATTGATTGATTTTGAGTCAATTGAAGTGGAGACTTGACCACTCTCCAAAATTGACAACCGTATGGACCACTTGTCTGAAACAGACTAGATTCTTCTAATCATAATAAAACTTAACTCCAGCTGATCAAGAAGGGGGTGGGGGTATCATTTGTGCATAATCTATTTGATTGGAATCCTTTCGGTTTTCTCCATGATTTTGTGCTTTCTGCTCTGGAAAAACCAAGAACTTGTAAAAAGTTCCAAAAGGGCTTTTTACCTTTGAAAAAATAGAAGAAAAACAAATCATTTTTACATGAAACTATTTCGAAGCAAAAAGCCATCGACCAATCAACTGCTGAAAAGGTACTTTTTAAAAAGTCATTTCAAAAAACAGCTTTCTCAAAAGCCCATTTAGGCCTGGCTCTTGAGACCACCAGGAGATTCCAATCGAATGGTCTTGAATGGAATATACACTATAAAACTTCCATGGATCGTAGCATCACCCTATTTTGTCAAATCGTCAAATCAAATCAATCAAAATTCTAAAATGCCGAAATTAGTTCAATCAAATGATCTGTGCACCCACGTAGTGGGTCCCACCATCAACGGCTTAGTGCTTAAGATTAAAACATAACTATCATTGGATCAGAATTCAGAAGCACCTGAAATTTCTCGTTTACTAAAAAGAATTACAAGAAAAAGGGTTTTTAAGCGACACGATGGAGTGGGACGGAGCAACGGACGGACACTCATGCATGTGCTCAGACATGTGAGACCGAATCTCAATGTACTATCTATAACATATAATAATAGTCCCGCAGTACCTCATCATCCTCTCTCACCCTTTCTTCCTTTCTGAGGTACAGAGAGATTCCTCTTCATAATACCTATTCTTCATTCTGTGTTCTCTCAGCACATCCCTTGCTGTGCATCTCTACGAAGGTCACAGCTTTTCTTCATAAAACCACCTCGAAACGAACGAAAAACAGATTTAGAGGTCAACATACGCGGTCTTGGAGATCGAAAATCTGGAGAATTCTAAAAGGAATTATGGGAAACTTATTGGATTCAAGCTAGAGATATGGAAGCGGAAATCCATTTTTCTATTGGTCCTTCCATGTGCTCTGCTTTAAAAATCCCATCTTTCGGTTTCGATTTCGTCCTCGTATCTAAGTTTGCATGAACGCTGAAGGAAATTGTAGATTTTCGCGATTTGGTTGCTAGGTGGAGACAATTTGAGTTCGAGACAAAGGGAGAGAAATGGAGAAGTACGAGCTTGTGAGAGATATTGGATCTGGGAATTTTGGTGTGGCGAGGCTTATGAGGAACAAGGAGACAAAAGAGCTCGTCGCCATGAAATACATCGAGCGTGGTCACAAGGTTCGTAAATATTGAAATCGAAATTGGATTCTGTTTTCTGTGTGGTTCTCTGTTTTGAATTTTGCTTTTGGGTTTCAGAATTGGGTTCCATTAGAGTTGGAATTCGTTGATTTATAGGTCGGGTTCTGCTTAAATTGTTGTTATTTTGATGCAGATCGATGAGAATGTGGCCAGAGAGATTATCAATCACAGATCACTTCGACACCCAAATATAATCCGATTTAAGGAGGCAAGTTTTTGTTCCAGGAAAGATTAATTTCGGTGAATCTTTTATTGGGTTTCTTAGGGTTTCTGGGGTTTCGATCTCGCAGGTTGTTTTAACCCCTACCCATCTCGCTATTGTCATGGAGTACGCCGCTGGTGGTGAGCTTTTTGAACGTATCTGCAACGCCGGAAGGTTTAGTGAAGACGAGGTTCCCTCTCTCGCTCGCTCGCTCGCTCGCTCCTTTAATATTTCCACTTCTAACTGTTTTTTGTTTTTTTTTCTTTGAAAATTTCAGGCGAGATATTTCTTCCAGCAGCTTATCTCAGGCGTTAGTTACTGTCATTCCATGGTAAATTAAGACCAAAATTATTTAATAATCAATAACTCTCCCTCTCTTTCTGAAACTAATCCATATTTGCTGCTTTGCAGCAAATTTGTCACAGAGATTTGAAGCTGGAGAACACACTATTGGATGGAAGCCCGGCACCACGCCTGAAAATCTGCGATTTCGGTTACTCAAAGGTCCATAAATTTAATCATAGAAGGACAAATTAATAAACAATAAACTTTAAGCATATAATCTGAATATTTCTTTTTATTTTAATCTGCATGTAGTCGTCTCTTCTGCATTCAAGGCCTAAATCGACGGTTGGAACTCCGGCATACATCGCACCGGAGGTACTTTCCCGGCGAGAGTATGATGGCAAGGTAATTTCGTAATATATCTATTGCTCTGGACAAACTGATAAATGCTTCCGAACCGTATGCTTAAGTAGACGTACCGCAGTCGATGTGCCACGTTTGCTTTTCCTTTACTCTCTGCGTTAAAAATTGTTACTAATACCTTTACGCAGTCATATGTAGCTGGGCGTGAGTGTTGACGGCTCTCCAAGAGTCTTTCTCCCCACATTCCTAGTACAGATGCCTTTTAGTTATTTGCATTTGTTCTTTGTTTGATGGGTCGTTATGGTAGTTATTCCTGGTTTCTAAGCCTTGTGACCCGCATTTATTTCTGTTGTGAGTCTTGTGATTGGTCTTGATTGTGTTTGCTTTTGGTGCTGAAAAGTGTTTTATGGTGGGTTTTTAATTGGGTGGAAAGAAATGGGATTCTTTTTTGTATTACATACTACGCATGAGAGGGGAATTGGGGTGAGGCAGAGTAGGGTGTAGGTGAGGCCCATTGGCCATACCATGGAGAGCTTGTGGTTCTGTGGGTAGTGAGTTTGATCCTATGCCTCCAAATTGGACGGGGTGCAAAGTGACTATTTCGACTACTAGGTCATTGGAATTGAAGGGGGCAATTCCATAAGTTTCCTTATTCCATGCTTTGGTTTCAATTTCATAACTGAATGGAATAAAAACTTGCTGACTTTAAGCCTGAAATTCTGCATTTTGCAGGATCCTATGTTCTGCCAGAGGGGCTAGTCATTTGAAGAAAGAGTTGGATCTGAGTTGGATTCATTTCCATTTCCTTTCTTGTGATTCAAAATATTATTGTGGAGACCGTTGTTTTCTAAATGGGTCACTTAAGGCTTAAGAATTTTCTTATAGACAAAAGTTATATTTGCGTCTCTTGTCCATTTCCTAGCCATGGGGCTGTGCCAGTGGTTCTCAGAATGAAACTTACCTGATAAGGAGAGGTTGATGACAGAAACAACAGAGCACTTTTAGGCCCACATATCTTTACTCATCTATATCTCTGTCTCTTGATACACCTAGCAAACCTTCTTGTTTCAATTGCAATATTTCATTTTTTTTTCTCAAATGAAACATTAATTACCCATTTGGGAGGGCTGAGCTGAAGATTCAGCTAAGCTGGTTCAGCTGCTTTGAAGTGCTCCAGATAAGCTATTGAAAGAGGATGAAGTGGACGGCCCTTCAAATGACTGACAGCCATTTTGGGCTCTCCAGATTTTCACCAAACATAGGCTGTCCATGTTGAGCCCAACTCAGAAAGCCAGAAGCAACTGCGCTTCAGCCTTCCCAAATGGGCACTGATGTGGTATTCATTTTCAATCTGAAAGTGTGTAAATTATAACTGCTGTTGGTAGAAGCTGTCCAGGTTCTCTATTGTTTTGACTGGTGTTAAACCTTGTTCCAGTAACAAACATTAAGGGGTTAGTTTGACAATATTTGTTAGCAAGGAACCGAACATGCATTTTATATGACTGATGTGATTAAGTTTCAGTTGAATAGCTCAAATCTTCTCAAAATGAAAGCTTGCGATGGTTATTGGTAACACTTCCAATTATTTTGTACTTGTTTCAATTGCAATATTTATTTTTTTGTCAAATCAAACACTAATATGTTATTCACTTTCAAGCTGAAGCTATGAAAGTTATAACTGCTGCTGGTAGCAGCTGTCCAGGTTCTCTACTGTTTTGACTGGTGGTAGACCTTGTTCCGGTAACCAACATTAAAAGGTTAGATCAACCATATTTGTTAGCAAGGAACCAAACATCCATTTTTATATGACTGATTAACTTTCAGTTGTATAGCTTAGATCTTCTCAAAATGAAAGCTTATCATGTTATTAAAACACTGCCAATTAATCTTTTATGACTCACCTATGGCTGATTGGAGGATGGCCTGAAACTTTTGGTGTGGTTTGATAACTGTAGAATGTCAATACATTTTAGCAATTTAGATTTTGGATTGTTACCAGTATAATTTCTTCTCTGTTTCTATGTTCTAATTTGGATACCACAGGTGTTGAAAAGTAGAATATAGATCAATCCCTCTACTGAATGGATTGCCCAAAATTTGGACTTCCAGATTCATGACCATATATGAGGCACTGGTTATTGCTAGAGAAAAGATTTTGATCATCGAACCAAGAAACAGGCCATTAAGAACATATTGCATCAAATTCTACTTTAGTTTTCTTGCTGAAAGTGAGGCTTTCATCTCTGCCATACATGTGGTTGACTGAGTTTTGAATTTGCTGAATCCTTTGGAATTAGGATAAAAACAGGAAAAGTAACTACTCTTTATTACTCCATAATTTAGGATATCTTCCCTCTGTCTGGCTGCCAAATTTTACTAGGAAATTGGTAGTTCAGTGTTTTGTTTCAGTTTGTAGCCCACTCCCCACATAGGAGATGGCTATTGATTGCATTTCTCAAATTTAATAGCCCACCAATATCAACAACAATGGATCTTTTAAAATGCTTCTTCAGTGGCTCTTTATTTTCATCTCTCTTATAGAATAATGTCAACTTGAAAGGTATTATCAAAGGGCATAGAGTCACATACATCAGTGTTTGGTCAACCAAACAAATTGAAAATTTGTTTTAGCTAATTGTATTGGTATGATCCGTGATAAATATATCTATACAGAGCATGCTGTCCCATTTGTAACAGATTTGCATCATTTACTTCTTTTTAGTTTCAAATTAATTCCATTAGTTACGATTTTTTAGTTTATTTTCTTTTCATGTTTACTTAGTTGGCAGATGTCTGGTCATGTGGTGTGACTCTTTATGTCATGCTTGTTGGCGCATACCCCTTTGAAGACCAAGAAGACCCTAAAAATTTCAGAAAAACCATAGGAGTAAGTTCACCATTTTTTTTTTACTTTTCTTTTGTAAATTCAGTATTCCTTTTTTCGTTCATTTATAATTTTATGAGTTACACTTTTCTTTTCTGCAGCGAATAATGGCTGTTCAGTACAAAATTCCCGATTATGTTCACATATCTCAAGATTGCAGGCATCTTCTTTCTCGCATATTTGTTGCAAATCCTGCACGGGTATGTATCTTTTTCAGACTGTTTGAGGCATTATTAAAAGTGAATTATCTAAATCCACTTATATTTGAGTTTACAAGTGTTGAGATATAAGTCCACTCTTAGCCAGTTGACAGTTACCACACATATTGGGAGTATGTTATCAAATGGGTTTGTTCTGTCAGAAAGAGGCACAAGGGGCAACTTTTTGCATATAACTGTGGACATGTTTACTATATTGTCAAATAATCCTAAGAAAAAGAGTGGGAAAAGCCTAGATAAGTTGTTAATGGGATGGGGGCTTGACCTACTGGGGACTCTTTGTGCCTGGAGGAGGTAATAAACGCATTTAACATTTGCTTCATGTTGTGACAGTTCAAAATGCCTTCCATGGAAAAACCATTGCATCATAGGGAACAAGAGTTGATGATGCCTTTCCTTTTGCTTGTCCATTTCTGGTTCACTCAAAACACTGTTTTTTATGTAGATGTGGCATAGTAGTTGCTTTCAGTTAGATTGATTTTGTGAAGTGGGTTGCATTGTTTCAGTTGCTGCACTGGAATGGTGATTTTGTGCGAATTTGTAGTAAAGGCAAGCATGGCTGTTTTTTTTTTTTTTTTTTTATGTTCCTCAGACATTACTTGTCAGTGGATGAAGATATTCATGCTTTCTCCACCATTTTTTTTTTTTCATTTTTATTTCCTGTCTGGCCTTTCAGAACCACCACATAATATGCCTTTTTACTATTTTTTATCCTTTTATGTTAAGTGGGTTTGTCATAGGCTTAGTTCGGATAGGATGGGGTAAATCTGGAATACTTGTGGTACAAAAGACACTGAACATGAACGTAATCATGTCTGTGTTAATGGATCTAAGAGATTACATGAATCGGTAAAGGATCCAATGCCAACATTTTAAACTTTGCAAGTGCATACATACATACATACATACATACATACATACATACATACATACATACATACATACATACATACATACATATAAATATAATATATAATATGGAGCTTTCTTACATGACTTCTTATATTTTTGCCACATGGAGGGATGTTGTGACTGATGCACACATCCACCAGTTAGGAATGGCAATGGGGTAGGTTCGGGGCGGGGACCATACTCTCCGTCCCTGATCCTGATACCCGTAGGACTGTCAACGGGCCAGGTCTGTTCCGGGACCAGCTAGAACTGGAACCTACCTGACATGAAATATCAAGGACCCGGAACTGAACCAGACCTGATAGGGTCAGTAATTTTTAGACTCAGAACTGTACCGATTGGTTCTCAGGACATAATAAATAAATAAATAAATAAATAAATAAATGCATTTAATATATATTATACATTATCTCTTATATGTATATTTTATATATATAATATAACATAATATAATATATAATATGGAGCTTTCTTACGTGGCTTTCTATATTTCTGCCACATGGAGAGATGCGACTGATTCAAACATCCACCAGTTAGAAATGGCAATGGGGCAGGTTCGGGGTGAGGACCATACTCTCCATCCCTGATCTTGATACCATTGGAAGTAAAAATTAACCACCATCCCCAATCCCACCTGGTGGAGATGAGTTTCCCATTGGGGACCTAAATCCCTGATTTTTTTTAATTAAAAGTTTTTTTTTGGGAAAAATATTTACTTAAAATAAAGAAAAAAATTTAAATATAAATAACATAGAAATTGAAATTTTTGTAGTGTCATTATAATTATACAAAATTATTTTCAAAATTTAAAATAAAATAGTATTTTAAATTATATATAAAATACTTTGTGGTTTCTAAATAACTTAGGAGTATTCTTTGTGGCAACTCATTTTGGAAATCAGAGCCTCGGCATTCCTCTCCCCATCCTCTTATTCATGAGAATATTTTCCAAAACAAATTCTTTATTCATGGGAAAAGTTTCAATTCCAAAAGCCCTTACCATGCATTTAAAATAAACATCCTTTGATGAAGAATAGAAAGCTTAGGTTAAAAATTAATATAGATAGTACCAATTTGGTAAAACTCGAATACAAAGTTGGTGTGGTTGTGGAGTTGAAAACATGGCATTTCGGTAGGTCCTCTATCCATCAGTCTGGGTTGGCCCCAGGCATTCCATGTGGCAGAAATAGATGGAATCATTCGGTGCAGCTTCCTATTTAACCCAATTAGGAAACATCTTATAGCTAGTCAGTGTTTTTATAAACTACACCTATTTGATGTCCAATTCCAGGAGTGTGCCCAAACATAATTCTGTCCAAAATCCAAGCTATCTGATTTATCTTTAGAAGAGTCTAATCTGATAATGTAATGGATCCTACCCCTGCCTCCACATGGTTTTGATGGTTAACTAATACATGAGTTACTAGACTTCAGAGGCTAACAATGAATCAATTTGTTAGTTTCCAGTTTAGACAGCTATTTTGTTATTGTTGTTATATTGCACAACTTTAATAATTAACCATTGCCCTGAAAATTTGCTTTCTTGGTATATTTGCAGCGAATTACCATTAAAGAAATTAAGAATCACCCATGGTTCTTAAAGAACTTGCCAAGGGAGCTAACAGAGACAGCTCAAGCCGTGTACTATCAGAGAAACAACCCAACTTATTCTCTTCAGAGTGTGGAGGAAATAATGAAAATTGTGGGAGAAGCAAGAACCCCACCACCAGCATCTAGGTCAATTGGGGGATTTGGATGGGGTGGAGATGAAGATGAGGAAGATGACAAGGAAGGAGATGAAGAAGATGCAGATGAAGAGGACGAGGATGAGTATGATAAGAGGGTCAAGGAAGCCCATGCAAGCGGTGAATTTCACGTCAGCTAAGGATGATTCTCCTTTCTCTGTCCTGAGAAAATTTTAATTTAATTTTGGGTTTCCATAGACTGTAGGATGTTTTGGACTTGTATAAAGTTCTATGCTACTGCTTTGAACTCAGGGTCTAAATGATCATAAACTTCAGTGTTGTCCAACAACAGGTGTATGTATTTAACATAAAATGTTTGTGTGTAGAGCATATTGTCTAGAGAAACTTGTTCCTTTTATTAATGTTAATGGGAGGTGTGAAGAATTGCATTAGGTTTGAAGTTTCTACAAGGATTGGCTCTCTTTTCTTTATACAACTTTAGCCTTTGAATTGGCAGAAAAACGAGGGGTCAGTGCCTGGTGAAATGGTAAAATCCGAAGCTTTGAAGCATGAAAAAATAGTTCCATGTTTGAGAGAAGTCATTTTGTGCAAGATCCTAGGACCCAGATAAGCTTGGTCACTTCATCATCATCATCATCTAAACCTTGTCCCAATTATACGGAGTAGGCCTAAATCATTTCTTATTATTTCTATTGAATTTCTTTTCTGTTTTTACCCCTAGCTCTTATAGCCCCTTTTAACAGATAACTTTTTCTAATAGGTGATGTGGATGGTCTTCTATCTCAGTCACTGAGTATAATAATGAGAATAAAATCTAGGAATTCTTGTTCAATTCAACACCTGAATAAGTGAATCACTGCAGAAGGAATAATTTTTACGGGAGTTTAATTGTTGCGCTCAAACCGGCTAAATTCCAGCTCCAAAGTACTGTTCATGAGTTTCAGGCAGCATTGATGGATCTGACAAGCCCCAGGACATGCTGTCTGTCACACCTCAAAAGCTACCATGCCAAGAATAAAAGAGGTGATAAGCATTCTTAATCTGGGAGCAAAAGGCGCACCCAGTTTCTGGGATGAATATGCCTTGTTCATATTATCTTAAGGCATCCTCTACACCGTTGTCCAAATCATGGAAGTTACCTGTTACCCTAGAAAGGAGCCAAAAACCTTCTAAGTCTTCATTTTTTTTTTTTGTTTTTTGTTTTGTTTTTTAATATATAGTAACCCCATCTTCATTGGATAGGCATTTAGAAAAAAAGAATCGTTAAATGAAATTCGCATTTGGTCCAGGGCTTTAAATGGCGTTCATTTGTCTACAAATACATGTAAAATAATACAAAGTACAAGGTTTTACACTCTATATATTTGTATTTATACTCCTTCCAAGCCGAGCCTTTATGATTTATCCAAATTCAAATTTCAAATTAGACCTGATGAAGGGTGATCCAGATTTAGATTTGGAATGAATTTGCATTGCACCCCTTACCAATCCAGTATAATTCAACTGGATTTAAAAGTATATGATTTTATATACTTAAAAATTTATATTCTATCTATTGTATAGTGTTCGAGTGTTGTGTTTTTACTATAAAAAGTCATTGGTTATAGTTTCATAAAATTTATTTTTAATATATTTTGTTTATACAATATCAAAGTCATTTTTAGTTTATTTTCATAAAATATAAAATATTTTGATAATTTTAACCAAGAAAATAATATTTTGATAATTTTTAGGGTAAATTTCTTAAACTACCCTTATGGTTTAACTAATTGGCTAAGTGTACCCTTACTGTTTGAAAATTGACTAACACTATCCCTACTATTTTTAACAATTGACTAACTCTACCCTTATCGTTAGTATCCGTTAAATTTCCCTTACATGTGATATCATGTGACTAATATATTTATCATAAATCATGAAAATACCCTTCCCGCCTACATTCCTAAAAAACCACCTCTGCAATTGACTAAATGAAAAAAGAAAACATTTTGATTGGTAAAACCATTGATCAAGTTCTCCCAATCAGAGATTCTAATGGTAAGAGTGATGATTAAAGATCTTGGATGCCAAAACTAAAATAGTAACAATAAGGGTAGATCGCCAAGAAAGGGGAACTTATGGTCAATCTGAATCCCAGTACAGTGAAAATCAACAATCTCAATTGGATCAAGCTTACACACAAATAAGAAAGAGATGGGGAGAGAGAATACAATGATACTTGGTAATTCTTCAGGATCCCACTTGTAGATGTCAATTTCTGTGATTACATTGAGCTGGATTCGACGTTGACACATTTTCATCTTTAATTAATAGAGGACCAGTTCCTCATCGGTTGAATGTGATTCAAATCTAGAAACCTCCTAATGAGTTTAGGAAAAAGTTAATCTAATCTGTAGATAAGATAAGGGTTTATCCTTATCACCTAAAGAGAAGGCTGATCCAAATATGATTTGGATAAGCAGCTCCTAATTGGATTAGGAGCTGATCTTTTTAGGTTAACAAAAAAAAGAAGGGGGCGGCAGCTTTTAGCAGACACAGATTGAGATCTTCTTGAGTGCTGAAAACACAAGAAGAGAGAATTCAGCACCCTGCGAATACTCTCTTGCCGCCTCCTTATTGCCGCCGCCATTACCTTCAGTTCGATCTCCAGTTCTTGGGAGAAATCAAGATCTGATCTTGATACCAATCTTTTGGGAAAAGATTGATTGGAGCTGTACTCACAAGCCATCCAGTTGATTCTTGTGAAGGGTCA